TCTCTACTTAATAAAACACTCATTCTGAAGAAATTGGTTTAAAAATGTCAATTAAGTTTTTCAAATGAGCTGCATTGCATTCATGTCAACAATGTTCATACTCCGTTTATAAGAGTTTACTATGGGAATGACTAAACGTACCGGTTAAGTACTGTAAATTGGAGAGATGAAAAACAAAAAGTAATTTAGAGTGCTATATTTGAAGGACCCAAAATATGTTTAAACAAAACATTGTGGTTCCTAATTATATCTTCTTCACTTGGGATGTTATTTTGGTTCCACATTATATCTTCGCAAAACTTAAGGACTACTGAAGAATATGTATTCTTTGCAAAATTTCCTAATCCAAATTCTAGATTCTAAGTTCTAGTCTTTAGATTCGGATTTTGGTCATATTCAACTTCCAAGTATCAAGTTATGCAGGGTGTGTATACGAATCAAGTCAATCAAATATCCATATATTCGTTGGGATGGTATATATTCGAGTTCAAATTCGTTAATAATTTGAAATTTAAAAAAGGTTTGTATTCGATTTGAGCTCATATTTCAAACATTCGACTTTGTATTCGAATATTTGAATTCGAAAATAGAACAAATTTTTACTTTACAAAAATCATAAATAAAAAGAGTAGTTATTTACTTTTAAGAACTACTCCGTAACATAAACTAAAAAATTCACAAATTCAAATAGAAGATCTAGACAGTTTATCATATTTTCCCTACATATATAAGTAATCTATAATATATTCATACAAAGTACTTCGTATACAAAGAATATAATTAAATATAAATATGCAATCTTCCAAGTACTTCGTATCTTCGCAAAACTTAAGGACCATTGAAGAATATGCAATCTTTGCAAAATTTCCTAATCCAAATTCTAGATTCTAAGTTCTAGTCTTTAGATTCGGATTTTGGTCATATTCAACTTCCAAGTATCAAGTTATGCTGGGTGTGTATAAGAATCAAGTCAAATATCCATATATTCGCTTCGTTTTTGTTTGGGATGGTTTGTATTCGAGTTCAAATTCGTTAATAATTTGAATTTTAAAAAAGGTTTGTATTCGATTTGAGCTCATATTCCAAATATTTGACTTTGTATTCGAATATTTGTATTCGAAAATAGAACAAATTTTAACTTTACAAAAATCATAAATAAAAAGAGTAGTTATTTACTTTTAAGAACTAACATAAACTAAAAAATTCACAAATTCAAATAGAAGATCTAGATAGTTTATCATATTTTCCCTACATATATAAGTAATCTATAATATATTCATACAAAGTACTTCGTATACAAAGAATATAATTAAATATAAATATATACTAAGTATATATTGGTATTATTCGAATAATTTGAATTCTTAATGAATTGGATATTCTAAGATTCGTATTCGTATTTGATTATATTTAAAATTGGATTAGAATTTGAATTCGGCTAAATCCAATCTGAATCAATGTATTCAAATACAAATTACGAATCGAATTATAAGTATTTGATTTGTATACACCCATCGTTCACTCTATTATCATGCTTTCAACATAGGTTTTAGTAACTAAGTTCTAAGATCTGGTTATCATTTTTTTAAAGACCTTACTCTAATAACGATAAAGTTTGTAATGATAATTGACAGAAATGATAGGGCCGCATTTCGTAAACATAGCCAAATGAGCCCTAAATTTCAACAATGTTCAATTATTGACGATCTTATTTGCAGAGCAGAGATATGGGAGACTTAAATGCACAATTTACACTCAATTTTCAAACATTAATTAGTGTAATTAATGAACTTTTTTTTGAGTGCACGAGTTGATGGGGAATAACCCCACACCAGCCTAGGGCTGACATCAGCATAAATTTCCAAAGTATCGGGCTTGGACGTTCCTGCCCAGCCCAGAGCTCCGCTCGCCTTTCTGCTCGGCTCTGCGCTCCGCTCGTCCTTCCTGCCCGGCTCTGCGCTCCGCTCGTCCTTTCTGCCCGGCTCTGCGCTCCGCTCGTCCTTCCTGCCCGGCTCGGCCAGTCGAGCCGAGCCCGAGCCCCGCGACAATGACGTACGGAAAGCGACGTTCAACAAAGACTTGATGAAAGCGATAGGATGAAAGGGACAAGACGCAAGGACAGGAGACGTCCGCTAAACGACGGACCTCAATCGGAGGGCTTTGACTTAGTGAATTGTACCCCCTATAAAAGGGGTGGCACCCCTCATTGTAATGGATCCGATTTTTGAAATCTATATACTCCTACTTTGCGCACACTCTCTCTCTCTAAAACTTTATATTATTTCATACTCTCGGTGGTTTATAGCCATCAAATTGGTGCTCTCGTTGAGAGAAGAGGAACATACTCGTAGGTTAACTTCCGAACGCGAGAATGGTGCAAACAAAGAGGAACGTCCCCACCACCAGCCACGTCGTTGGCGAGGAGAATGCGCCGGGCAGCGGCAACGGAACGGGAGGCATCGGCTCGACTCCGGACGCGGTCCAAGCGCTGTTCGGCTTGGGGGTGACCGCGGAGTAGCTACAGGCAGCCGTTGCGGCACTTTTCGCCATGGGTGGGAACGTGCCCGGTGCCGGAGTTTGCAAAGCTCCGCCCGGTCTCCATGCCGAACACGCTGCCACTTCCCAACACAAGGGGAAGAAGACCCGTAGGAGCAAAAGGAGGCCCGGCAAAGCCCCGGTGTTTGAGGTGGTGATAGTCGAGGACATTCCTGAAGGAGAAGACGATGAGTCCAGCGAGTGCCGGGTGTCGGCCTTCAAGCGCTTAGGAGGTGAAGAGACCCGGGTGTCGGCCTTCGATAGGCTCGACCACGGACCGAGAGGTCACCCGGGCGACCTCCGCCGACAAATAACCGAAGGTAGGCGGAGGCATGCTGAGGAGTCCGCGACCTCGGATGCACGCTCGGCGAGGCCCGAGCGGAGCGGAGAAAGACGGGACGAGCGCACCCAGCGTCGCCATAGTCCAACAAGAACTGAGAAGACAAAGGCCTCTGACCAAGGGGTATCTCGGCTCACTCGTGAGATTGCCGAGCTCAAGCGCCGAGTGGAGACCAGGGCTCCCTACAGCCAGCCCATCTTGCGGACGGTAACCCCGTTCACTCCGAGGGTTATGTCGGTTCCGCTGCCGGCAAACTTCTGGCCGTGGCAGATCAAGGCCTACAACGGAACGACGGACCCCCAAGATCATTTGTCTAAGTTCTATGCTTCTATGGAAGCGGCGGCAGCCCCGGACGAGGTCAAGTGCTGATGCTTTCTCGCGACGCAAGAGGGCTCCACGTGCGATTGGTTCAACCGGCTCCCGAAGGGAACCATTGACGATTGGGATACGCTAGCGGAGATGTTCTTGACGCACTTCGCAGCCAACCGGAGGCAGAGGCTACCTTACTCCCACCTGCTCAACATTTGCATCCGTAAAGGAGAGAAGATCCGCGACTTCATAACCCGGTGGGAGAAGGAAGCCAGAGACGTGCACGGGGCGGATGACCAAGCGTTGGTGGCCATGTTCCAAGCAGCCCTTCCCCGCGGTGAGGTGAGGAAGGAGCGCCGCAAGAATCCTCCCCCCACGTACCAAGAAACCTTGGCGCGCGCTAAGTTTTTAACCTTAGAGGAATTCGATGATGCCCCCGACTCTGAGGCCGCACCGGCCAAGCGAGCTCCCGCAGATTCAGAGGAGATAGCGAAGAAGAGGAAGAAGAAGAAAGACTACACTGTGTGCCCGAGGACGCCCTCGGCGGGTGTGTACTCCGTGGGTGCGTCCGTGGGGACAGGTCGAGAGCTGGCCCTCTCCCCGCTCCCGCACGTAGAGGTTCATCTAAGGATATCCGGTGGGGTTCATCCATGGAGGAAATATCGGCGGGGACTCCGCCACTCAAAGGAAGAGGTGGAAGCGCATGGCCTTCGTCGCCAAAGTCCAACAGGCGCCGATGCCCGAGCTCGGTAGACGAGAGCAAATCCAATTCACGGAGAAGGATCTTCTGGACACACCGAGCCCCCACCGGGATGCCTTAGTCGTGAGGATAGAGATCAACAACGCCATAGTGCACCGCACCTTGGTGGGCACGGGAAGCTCGGTCAACATAATGTATAAGAAGACCTTTCAAGACCTCGGCTCTGACCGCAAGGACTTAAGGCACGTGCGCACTCCTCTCCGGGTTCACGGGGGACTCCATCGAGGCCGAAGGAGTCATCACCGTGCCCGTGATAGTAGGGGATGGTGCGCACAAGGCCAAGTTGAAGATGGAGTTCATGGTTGTGAGCATCAGCTGTGCGCACAACATGATCTTAGGCCTTGAGGACTTGGAATGTGTGATCTCCCCATACTACTTGTGCATGAAGTTCCCCACTCCTTCGGGAATCGGGGTGGCGAAGGGAGACCAAAAGTTAGCCCGATTGTGCTATGTCCGAATCACAAAGAAATTGCCAAGGGATGAGACGTTGGTCATGCACGCACAAGAAGAAATGCGGAAGGTGAAGGTCGAGGCGAGCCTAGCCGGGAGCCAGCGGAAGCGCTTGGTGGACGCGCTCTCCGCCTACCGCGTGATCTTTGCATGGGGACCCGGGGATATACCGGGGGTAGACCCTAAGCTCATATGTCACTGCTTGGCAGTCAACCCGGAGGCTAGGTCGGTGAAGTAGAAGAAGCGATTCCTGGTGGTTCCATGATGTTGGCTAATCTTTTGGCAAAATAGAATCCCATATTTGTTAGGTTTTTTACTAGGTAGAAACCTCTATTTGTTAGGAGAGGTTTATTTTATTTAGACTTCTAGAATTGCTGCTGTTTTCGAGGTTGATACAGAAGATGCTACAGCACGATGCTGCAACACAGTGTGCGGGATCAGAGGTTTGAGCACGGGATTTTAAGCTGCAATCTGAATTAGAGACCTATTGGGATTGTGATTACATAATAATAACTCCAGCTGTACATGCTAAGGAATCCCAACTCTTTATGCTACTTGTGGATCAAGATTAAGGAAGTAGCGTTCAAGCCAACTTCTACTATCCTATTCCTACTAGGATTGTGTTAAGAGAGGCCTATAAAATGCAGCAGGTCCCTGGGAATTACTTGGAGCGATTGAGAGGGAAAACAAAGAATATACGCTGATGTAGAGCATTTCCCGTCGCGTCCCGGAGCTTCCCTTGCGTGAAGAAAGTTACGATCTGCATCAAGAATGAGATCTTCGACTCCAAACCGATCGTGACAACCAGGAGATGAACCAGAGCTTAACGAGTGGGCTGCTAACACGTTTGTCCTCGTGATCTCGGTGGAGATGTGATAGCCGAAGCGGATCTGAACAGAGTTCGGGTTAGAAATCCTAGATTAGAAGTTACGTCATAGCAATTCGGAGAAGAGTGTCTCATCATGTTGTTATGTACCGGTGTAACTTGCATCTAGTGATTTAGTGGAGGGCTATTACATGGACGTGGGCCCCGCAGATTAGGAGAGTTTCTCCGAACTGCGTAAACATATCTGGTGTTATTTTTTACGCATTTTATAGTTACACCTTTCTGCTCAGTAGGCGCTGTAACGCCCTCTGCGTCATCTGCTTCTGTGTGAGTGCTTGTGTTAGAGAAGTGTTATAGCAAACTGTCCGTCATCTGTTACTAGACAGTGCTGCAGCGTCTTCTCTGCAGCACAGTTGATTGATTTGTTTGCATAACACTTAATTGGTGATTTCCGCTGCGCCCCCACGAACTTTCAATTCCTCTCGTCCGAGCGGAGGGAGTGTGTCTCCAAGGAAGTAGCCACCCTCCAGAGCATTGGGCACATCAGAGAGGTCAAGTACCCGGAGTGGATGGCCAACGTGGTGCTGGCACCCAAGGGAAACACTTGGAGGATGTGCATGGACTACACCGACCTAAACAAGGCGTGCCCCATGGATCCGTTCCCACTCCCGAACATGGACCAGCTGGTGGACGAAACGGCGGGCTGCGAGCTCATGAGTTTCATGGACGCCTTCAGCGGGTACCACCAAATCCGAATGCACCCTGAGGACGAAGAGAAGACATCTTTCACTACCCCCAGCGAAGTATATTGTTACAAAGTGATGCCTTTTGGGCTCAAGAATGCCGGGGTGACCTACGCTAGGATGGTGAGCAAGCTCTTTGCGCCCATCCTTGGGAAGAGCATGGAAGCGTACGTCGACGACATGATTGTGAAGAGCAAGCAGGCGACCACCCATGCGGAAGACTTAGAAGGAGTTTTCAAGATTATGGAGAAGTACAACCTGCGGCTGAATCCGAAGAAGTGCACGTTCGGAGTTCAAGGCGGCAAATTCTTGGGACATATGGTGAGCATGCGCGGCATTGAGCCCAACCCTGAGAAGGTGCGCGCCATCCTTGACATGGAAGCTCCACGAAATGTCAAGGAGGTGCAACGCTTGACCGGTAAGTTGGCCGCACTCAGTCGCTTCCTTTCTAAGGTAGCGGATCGAGCCGCTCCGTTCTTCCAAGCTGTGAAGAAGTCCCGAGGTTTCGTGTGGACGGAAGAATGCCAACAATCCTTTGAATCCCTCAAGTCCTACCTCCTCTCTCCTCTGGTTCTCGCGAAGCCCGAATGGGGGGAGGCATTGTACTTATACTTAGGAGTTTCACCCAAAGCTTTGAGCTCGGTCCTAGTCCGAGACGAAGGTGGAGCTCAGCACCCGGTGTATTACACGGCGAAGACGTTGAGGGTGCCGAGCTCAGGTACTCAGTAGCCGAAAAGACGGTCCTGGCCGTGGTTTCAACCGTGCAGCGGCTAACCCCTACTTCCAAGCCCACCCGATTCAAGTGCTCTCCCAACAGCCCATTGGTGCGCTGCTCAGGAGCCCGAACGCGCCCTCGCGCATGTCCAAGTGGGCGGTGTTCCTTGGAGCTTTCCCGATCGAATTCAAGCCAAGGCCAGCGATCAAGGGCCAAGCGCTAGCTGACTTCATGGTAGAGTGCACCGCTCGGGAGGAGCTGAGCCTGGAAGAGCCGGAAGCCGATGACTAGTGGATAGTTTTTACCGACGGCTCCTCCGCCGCCAAAAACTCGGGGGTGTAGTGGTAGTCATCGCTCCCGAAGGCTTTAGAGCATACTAAATTCGATATGGTTTCAAGGCATCAAACAATGAAGCGGAATATGAAGCCCTCCTGTGCGGGCTACGCCTAGCAGCCGGGATGAACGCAACAAAGCTAAGGGTAAAGTGTGATTCAAAGCTGGTGGTTGGCCACGTCTCGAGAGAGTTCGAGGCGAAGGACGAAAGAATGAAGAAGTAGAGAGATACCGCTCTAGAGTTACTTAAAAGTTTCACCGCGTATAGTGTGGAGCAGATCCGTCGGGCGGAAAATGCCGAGGCGGATATTTTGTCGAAGCTGAGCTCGGACACGCCTGAGCACATCAGGCAAATGGCGAACTTGGAAGAGCTGTCCGAGCCGAGCATCCATGCTTCCCCTATGGCAATGATCTGTGCTCGGCCAAGAGATTGGATGGACGACATAGTCGCCTTCTTGAAGGACGGCGCTCCTCCTCAGAAGGAAAGCAGAGCGCAGACCATACCCGGATGTTCTTCCCGGATGGAGGTCAAACACTCGCGCTCGGCACTCCTCCTCGGAAGGAAGGCCGAGCGCAGACCATACCCGGATGTTCTTCCCGGATGGAGGTCAAACACTCGCGCTCGGCACTCCTCCTCGGAAGGAAGGCCGAGCGCAGACCATACCCGGATGTTCTTCCCGGATGGAGGTCAAACACTCGCGCTCGGCGCTCCTCCTCGGGGAGGGAAGCCAAGCGCAGACCCTACCCGGATGTTCTTCCCGGATGGAGGTCAAACACTCGCGCTCGGCGCTCCTCCTCAGGGAGGGAAGTTGAGCGTAGACCATATCCGGATGTTCTTCCCGGATGGAGGTCAAACACTCGCGCTCAGTGCTCCTCCTCAGGAGGGGAGCCAAGCGCAGGCCATACCCGGATGTTCTTCCTGGTTGAAGGTCAAACACTCGCGCTCGGCGCTCCTCCTCGGGGAGGGAAGTCGAGCGCAGGCCATACCCGGATGTTCTTCCCGGATGAAGGTCAAACACTCGCGCTCGGCGCTCCTCCTCGGGGAGGGAAGTCGAGCGCAGGCCATACCCGGATGTTCTTCCCGGATGAATGCCAAACATTCGCGCTCGGCACTTCTCCTCGGGAGGAAAGCCGAGCGTAGACCATACCCGGATGTTCTTCCCGGATGAAGGTCAAACACGCACGCTAAAATAATAACGAAAAAAACGAGACATAAAATCAAATTCATATCTTAATCATCCCTGAAAAAGGGGATAGTACACGGCGCAAACGCCTTAGAATGGACCGGTGGGCAAAGGCACCAAGGCCGAGGTTTTGGCAGAGCTCCACGAGGATAAAGCGAGCCCGCGCTCGCCCTCGGTTGGGCACCGAGACGAGTCGAGCACGTCCTTTGGTAAAGCGAGCCCAAGCGTGAGCACGGCCCTGCACAAGCGAGCTTAGGCCATACCCGGATGTTCTTCCCGGATGAAGGTCAAACCCTCGCGCTCGGATCCGTCCTCCTCAAGAGGATGGACGAGCGTAGGCCATACCCGGATGTTCTTCCCGGAGAAAGGTCAACACTCGCGCTCGGCTCCGTCTTCCTCATTAGGATGGACGAGCATAGGCCATACCCGGATGTTCTTCCCGGATGAAGGTCAACACTTGCGCTCGGCTCTGTCTTCCTCAAGAGGATGGACGAGCATAGGCCATACCCGGATGTTCTTCCAGATGAAGGTCAATACTCGCGCTCGGCTCCGTCCTCCTCAAGTGGATGGACGGGCGTAGGCCATACCTGGATGTTCTTCTTGGATGAAGGTCAACACTCGCGCTCGGCTCTGTCCTCCTCAAGAGAAAAAGGGGAAATACATGGCGCACACGCCTTTCAAGAGTTAAAACATAGAAACGCATAATCTTAGGGGCTGTTTGGCAACTTCTGAATGGGTAAGTGCTGAACCAGTAAGAGGTCTGAACCATTAAGTGCTGAACCAGTAAGATGTCTGAACCATTAAGAGCTAGTATATTGCTTAACTATTCAGAGGCAAATGTCTGATCAATTCAGATAAGAGGTCTTAACCATTCAGACTCTGTATAATACTTAACCATTCAGAGGCAAATCTCTTAACCATTCAGACATCTGAACCATTAAGAGGCGGAAACAAACAGTCTGAACCATTAAGTGCTGAACCATTCAGACATCTGAACCATTAAGAGGCTGAAACAAACAGCCCCTTAATCATTTGTTTGATTTGATACTTTTCAAATTAGTTTTCTGAATGTATAAATATGTATTTTAATAGTCCAAGTATTATACAAGTAGCCATTAAAAATCAAATTTAACACTAATTTAAAAATACAAATACTCCATACAAAACAAAACAGAGTCCAAAAATATTTTTGCACAAAGCCTTTCTCATTTTTGGGCCTCCCCTGAATAGCACATGAAATCTTGTCACATTCTCATAAATTGTGAATCATCAAAACATGACTCTTCTATCAATTCATGTAACGGATCCGAAGTTGCTTAAGATAAACAACTACGGAGTAAGTTTCAACTTTAATTAGAGACACATACTCAGACAAGCCAATATACTATGCATGTTGCATGTTGCAAGCCAATTGCCAGGTGCCATGGAACCCGGAGAGTGGGGGGCTTCTGATGGGGAATAACCCCACACCAGCCTAGGGCTGACATCAGCATAAATTTCCAAAGTATCGGGCTTGGACGTTCCTGCCCACCCCAGAGCTCCGCTCGCCTTTCTGCCCGGCTCTGCGCTCCGCTCGTCCTTCCTGCCCGGCTCTGCGCTCCGCTCGTCCTTCCTGCCTCGCTCTGCGCTCCGCTCGTCCTTCCTGCCCGGCTCGGCCAGTCGAGCCGAGCTCGAGCCCCGCGACAATGACGTGCGGAAAGCGACGTTCAACGAAGACTTGATGAAAGCGATAGGATGAAAGGGACAAGACGCAAGGACAAGTGACGTCCGCTAAACGACGGACCTCGATCGGAGGGCTTTGACTTAGTGAATTGTACCCCCTATAAAAGGGGTGGCACCCCTCATTGTAATGGATCCGATTTTTGAAATCAATATACTCCTACTTTGCGCGCACACACTCTCTCTCTAAAACTTTATATTATTTCATACTCTCGGTGGTTTATAGCCATCACGAGTAATTAATTTATTATAGAGACACCCGTTTCAAATGACTAAGACCTCGTTCTGTTCAACTTATTTTTTCTCCTTTTTTCTTATTCTTATTAAAATCAGATCAGATCTAATCAGATCAGATCCAATCAGATCATAGCTACAAAAAAACAGATCAGATTATAAGAAATAAGTTGAACGAAACGGAGCTTAATATTGGGTTAAAATATAAACTTCGAGCACGGACTAAAATGTTTGACGTGTATAAAACGCAACCTTTTAAAATTTTCGACGTGTATCATAATATTCGTTAAGCATATAAACTTTGAGCACGGACTAAATAGAATTGAATTGCATATTTAAGCCTCTTTATTATGGAAGGTATACATACCCCGATCAAATCGCATCAGTATCTTACATGGTATGAAAAAAAGGCACTAATATCCTTTCTCTTTTCAAAGCTTATTTCAATAGCCTCTGTGGTTTCAAAACCTTGCATCCATATCTCTTAATCCTCTATGATCATTTTCCGGGCATCTTTCCGAGTTTTCGGCGAAGAGGGGACATTGGTGCCTATTTTCCAAACCACATGGGGCACTGGCGGTCATTTCTTATTTTTCATTTATTTTTTGTTTTCCATTTTTTTCCTTTATTTGTTTCTTTTATTAATCAAATTTTTTAAAATCTCTTTTTAATTTCTTTTACAATGTTATTAAAATTTACAATTCTTTTTTCTAAAAAAAAAAAGATAACATATACTACATCTGTACGTCTGAAGTTAATATTTTTGTTTTTTGTTTTTTGAAAAAAAAAAGTAGCATTTTTTTGAGAGCTTCAAGAAATAAGAAATAAAATTTAAAAATAAAAATGAATTTCGTTTTGGACACCCCAATTCTAATCACTTTTTAGGCGTTTTGAAAATTGCTTTTGGTATAACTCTTTTTTACATATATAGCCTACATAGCCTTCGTATTTTTTACTGCATCACCTTTCTCATTCACATCAGTGTCGCATTAGATTCCATTAATTTTATTTTCTTCTTACTATAAGTAGGGTATACATACGCCAATTTGCCAACTTGTTACAACCATTTTTTTAATATTTGACTTAAATTAATGGTATAATTTAATTTTAAAATAATGTTTAAATAATCAACTCTAGCAAATATTATATATGAAATTTAAAATATCTTTTAAATAATTAAATTTTACAAAAACTTTAAAATAAATTAGTTTTTTTAAATAATTAACTTTAACAAATAGTATATATTAAACTCATATTTTTACTCATGTAATGTCGCACAGAAAATGACAAAAACATAAAGTCATGATGAAAGTATGACTTAAAATTTGAAAAACTAAATATTTTTTATCAAATAGAAAAATATCTTTACAACTTAATTATTTAATTCAAATCTTTAATTAAATTAACTAAAATGGTAAAACTTAATCAGGTCAGTAATTCAAGATAATAAATTATATGGATTATTAAGTTTATACTTTCAAGATAATAAACTTAATAATCCATATAATTTATTATCTTGAATTACTGACCTGATTAAGTTTTACCATTTTAGTAAATTTAATTAAAGATTTGAATTAAATAATTAAGTTGAAAAGATATTTTTTATCATTTTTTTTTTACATTTTTTTATGTTTTTTAAACTTAAAAAAATATTTTTATTATTTATTTTATTAAAAAAGTATTCTTTTTTCTTCTACATTTTTTTTTCATAAAAAATTTTAAAAAAATTATATAAAAAATGAAAAAGGAAGGATGAAGTGTCACACTCATGCCTCACCAACAAGGCATTTTGGCCTTCCCATGCCATGATAAGAGTGGAAGGCAAGGCACTGGGTTTTGAACAAAGGCATTTTGGCCTTCCCATCCCATGCCACTACATATGCTCTTAGGTAGACCTGACAAAAAGTGACCTGACATGTTTTTTACCCGAAATCCGACCTAAAAACACTGGGTTTTGAACAAAGGTTTTGATGACCGAACCCGAAGTTGACCGAACCCGAAATGACCTGCTAAAAATGGGTCAAACCCGACCGAACCCGAACCCGACCTGACCGACCCGCTAAAGTAAGAATTTTTCAAATTTATACACTTTTTTTTACTTATTTTTAGTGTATAAATTTATATTTTCAGACAAAATTTTAATGATATTGCATAATTATCTTACTTTTTTCCAAAACATAAACATTTTTAAATTCCTTATATTGATTTATATATCTAAAAACTACTCTAGAGTTTAAAATAATACGGAGTATAATTTTATAGATTTAGTACTCTTTTTAAAATTTAAATTTATTTAATAGAAAATTTAAGAATAAATGTGAATTTAAAAATTAAAAAAACCAAAGTCATAATCCGTTGGGTCGATCCGAACCCGATGACACCGGGTCATGAACATACAATTCTCAACACGAACCCAAAATATCCGAATCCGAAATAACCCAAACTTGAAGTGACCGAACCCAACGGACCGAACCCGAACCAGTTCTAACAGACCGATTTATGCACCCAATAAGACCGATTGGGGAATTCCACCAGATTTATGCACCCAATAAGAACGAACAAGAGTTTGGGCACACAATGTCCGTTCAATTACCGTCCGATTGGGCTGGGAGAGACGGAAATACGAGTGAGAGCGATTGCACTGCCCTTCGTCAATCTGGTGCGCTGCCTCTCTCCATCTCCGATCTATAATATAATCTGCGCAGATTTACCCGTTTCTTTAGCGCGAGGAATCCGGCTGAATTGGGATTTGCATATCCGTATCGTGAGCAATTGAAAACCCCTAATATGACCTCCANTGTTGTTTTATTAATTGCTTATTTAGAAGTTATGCATTGTGCTGTGTTGATCTTTAGCTGGTAGTTTAATGCGAATCTGGATGTGTGAGAATTGGGTTAATTTGGGTCTTTTTGTATAATTTTGTATTGTTCTCATAATTGGTGACTTGTTTCTTGAATCTAGTGGTAGTGTTTAGTTATGGAATTGTGTGATATATTGATTTCAAATTTGTGAAATGGAGAGGTAGGGGTACTACTAGCTCATAAGTGTGTTCTTGAATGGTATACTGCATATGTGTTTTTACTGATTTCAAAGTGGAATATGACTTATACTTCTCCAACCTTTATTATGTTAAATGTGACACAAATTTTTATCTTTTTGTGTGAGATCCCAACTGTGGCAGTGAGTTGAGATTTAAGGGGTTTTTAGCATTGTTAAGGTATGCTTACTATGTAAGCTTGATTTGGGATGTGAAAAATAATGGACATGTGTTCGAGTGTATTGTTTAATGCATTTGTGTCTTAAGTGAATGGACACTGAAGTGTGGCTTATGTTTATTCAACATTTCGTGAGACCAAAAGTGTGGCAGTGAGATGAGAAGTGAATGAATTTCTGGCAGTGTGACAATTTCAATAAAGTTTTGGTTGTATCGAGATGTGAAATAGGTTCTCTACTTTTGGAAAAAAAACATATTTGAAGGAAAGAAAATTCGCATGATTTAATGAATTAAAAAAATATCATGTGAACTTCAAAGAGTTTTAATCAAATTTGAAATTCCTCAATATTCTCCAAGGTAGAAACCAACCCTAAAATTTTTGCTTTTTCTAGACACAACCAAAGATTATCATTCCTTTTGAGTATTGAGGTGCAAATTAAATGATGAATGATAATGGTTGTGATTAATCACCTGGTTAGGGCAACTGCAATACCAGATGGCTGGATGGGGTTACATGTTGGAAATGATACAGTCAAATATTTGGGGAAGCTTTGGATGCCACCCAAACAATTCTTCTCCAACTGGTCACATCTCATAATTACTCCCACACTTCTACTAATTACGGATCATGATTAGCATGTACGGTAAGAATGACAATTCTTTCTCTGGAGGGATCAAACTCTCTTGTTATACGAAGGACAACACAAACTTTTATCTCTCTAAATACTATTTCTAATCTTGCTTCTTATAATCACTTACTAATCTTAATTCTCTATGGATTCTACATCCATCAATTGTTGGTGGTGTTGTTTGTTACTAGGCCATTGCGAAGAAACTGGTACAGCTTAGTGGACAGGGAGTGACGACAATAATCGGAGGACGAAACTCGGTTGCAGAAGTCGAGAAGGTTGGGCTTGGAGCTAAGATGAGCCATATCTCGACAGAAGGTCGTGCAAGCCGAGACCTACTTGAAGGGAAAATCCTTCCTGGTATTCATGCACTTGACGATGCTTCTATGGAAATAAAATTGGAATAAGAATTTTGAAGGAAAGGAAATTCGAAAGATTTAATCAATAAAAAAACATGATTATCAAAGGTAAAAATCAAATTCGTCCATATTCTCAAAGGTAAAAATCAAACCTAAAATTTTTGCATTCCAGACATAAACAAAGATTATCTTTTCTTTTGAGTTTAGAGGTGCAAATTAAACGATGAATGATAATGCTTGTGATTAATCAGGTAGTTAGCGCAACTGCAATACCAGATGGCTGGATGACGTTAGAAGTTGGATCACATACAATCAAATATTTGATGAACCTTTTGATGCCACCAAAACAATCATATGGAACACGCATATGGGTGAGTTTCAGTTTGAGTAGTTTGCTGCTGAGACCGATTTTTGACTCTCTAACTTCTTCAAATAAATCAAATATTTCATAAAAAGCTTCACTGCCTTTTTAGATTTGCTTAAACTGAGACACTACGTGTGGAAGATTACTGACTGGTTCCTATTCTTGTAGATAAGTATATTATGAATTCCCCCCAATGTTCCCTGCCCAATTATTTTTTATTGAGTTGTAATTAGGCCCAATATGTTCTAAGAGGGTCAGAGTGATGTATACGCCCACATGAAAAGAGTATTGGGTTTAGATAACCCGGAACTGAGGTCAAACCTTGCTTGCATTGGATTATGGTTGATCAGAGAGACTGAGACATGATCTCCACGTGACTGAAACCAAACCGGTCAGGTTTCATAATTAGTTCTACACTTATACTAATTACGGATCATGATTACCATGTACAAACCTTGTACTGTAAACATGACATTTCTTTCCCTGCAGTATCAAACCCTCTTCTTATACAAAACACAGCACAAAACATTGTCTCTGTAAATACTCTTTCTGATCATGCTTCTTATAATCACTTACTTTTCTTAATTCTCTATGTATTTTACATCCATTAATTGTTCGTGGTGTTGTGACTAGGCCATTGCGATTTGCGAAGAAACTGGTAGACCTTAGTGGGCAGGGAGTGACGACAATCATCGGAGGACGACACTAGGTTGCAGAAGTCCACAACGTTGGGCTTGCAGCATTCACTTTCAGTTGCATACATGTTTCATGTTCCATGGGTCGCAAGCTATTAAAGTTTTTCCGATTAAGGGTAGACTAGAAAAAATAATGTAATATACTACTCACTTCCACATACGAAGTAATTTTGTTTTCAAGTGGACTACTAAATAGAGGAGTAATTGGGGTTCTGCCTTATGACAGGGGAGTACATCCCAAGTGCACCGAACTTGGACTTTTTCTTACTCATGGAAAAGGTCTTAAAAAATGAACAACAATAAACAATTGCACGTACAACATCAGAGAATTGGGACCATGGAAAAATGAAAGGTATGTCACTTAATTCGTTGCTGTGATGCTTATATCTTAAATCCTTTTACTATTTTTAATAATACCAATCACAAGTAATAAGTTATGTATGTTCATTTTAATTAAACCAACATATAGATTTTCAAAGTGTAGGCGCAGTAGGGATGTAGAATTACATGCCATTACTTCGCTATACAATTGGCTCTGAGTCAGGATCTGTTGGAAATGATCACGGGGTAGGATTTGCATCTGGCTCTGATTCAGGATCTAGTGTTAGCTCTTCTGGCTCAGGTGATGATCATAGCCGCATCGATCGTTCTCAGTTCTCCTCTTTCAGGTCTTTTTTTGCTCCCTTGTCAGCAAAGATTCGTTTTTTCTTCCATAAAATTTTGCTTAGGTTTCATGGTTGGAGAGAAAGATTATTGCAGTTTCACTCTTGACTTGATAGGCGCTTTTTTTGAACTAGGGAGAATGTATTGTTAACCAGACTCTTTTCCCAGGAGTCTTTGTTTCACTGCCACTTTACACCGATCTGGTTTTAT